CTTACTTACTTACTTACTTACTTACTTACTTACTTACTTACTTACTTACTTACTTACTTACTTACTTACTTACTACTGGTGCCAAATACAAAAATATATTCATTACAAATCGTATCACGAAAAAATGTCTGCTATGTTCACACTAACGTTAGAGTATACGTTTAAGGTCTGTAAAATCATACCAAATTTTTCGTGCACACCAGTCGTGCGTACACCTGTCCACACGATCGCAATAAACGGAGATACAAACGCGCAAATAACTAACAAACAAGAATGCCTGGTTATCTCTGGGTAACAGACGTCAGCGTTCACAAATGTATATAATTTCGTCCCGGAGGCCGCGCGTTTTCGGTCAAAGGCACGTGACCGAACGTCCCAATTCTTGGTGTTAACCAAAAAGACCGCAGCCTCTGGGTTCAACGAGACTGAAATATACACTGTACTACACACACAAGAGTTAATCGACTTTAGAGAACGTTACGAAAATATACCTTGACATACAGTATATTGTGGACGAAAGGCGTTAAGGTAGAAGAATCCAAACTTTTACAGCTTTAAGGTATACGAGTGCAAGGAAAGCTAAGGAACCCATGTGACGACCTGTCGACTGTTATTAGAGCCACTGAACACAGTGAGAACAATAGCATATCAGCAAAATTTCTGCGCCAGTATCACCGTAAACGTAAACATCTTTTCACTCTGCAGATTCGTCCTTCTTGTTAATGTAAGTCGTCTCCGTTTTGCACTGTTCGCTCGTTTTGATTCATAGTAATGAAGTTCAACAGATCAATACGCGTCACAATCCCAAATATCATTTCTTTCTCATCCAACTTTCCTTTGTCGGTATCTGAAAAATCAGTTACACGGCTTACTAAATGAACACAATTATAGAATAGAAGGATATTCAGCTCAACACAAAGATTTTACACCTATCCAAAACATTCCTAGTAAATTTCCTTGGATGCATGTGACTTTCTCAACTCAGCGACCAAGGAATATGGTTTGCGAATTGCTAAATTTCGGCTTTAATGATCTTCAAGCAAGGCGTCGTCGTATTCTGCATCCCCTCACACTAACCTAGGATGTGATAGTTAAGTGGTAGTGGTTTCATGCATACCTGGCATGCACAATCTTTAGCTTACTTTTACTTCACCAACAAATTAGCACATGAACTTACAGAGTCTCTGTCTGTGGACAACAACAGCATAATGATCATGATCAAGAATACGAGAAAGCCGCCCGAGACTGGAGTCTAGTGTCACCTAGAACACAAAAATACAAACATGAACCAAATAATTCAGAAATTTAAAACTACATTATTTCTTGTTGCGCATTCACCGGGATCTGAAAAGAGTTGTTTTAACGTCAACTATTAATAAAACATTATCTCCATGTTGATGTTACCAAATAAGGTTCTATTCTAGAGCTCACAATCACCAACCCAACAATCATTTAACATAACAACAAACGTGGGAAAACAAGATATAGTACAGACAAGATGAGTGCTACTCAATGGCAAAACTATAACGATTTGTAATGAACTTTTACAACAACAAAAAGTTTAGAAGAGGTAACTACATTTGCAGGCTCTTATACAATTAGGCCGAGGTAGCTTTAATAACAAACATAAATAAACAATAAAATATGCTCGGATATTATCTGGATATTATATGTAATGGTAATAGGACTGAGTGGAGTCCAATTCGGTCGGTTATCATAAGAGTGATAACAAATGATTACAAACCGAATTGGACAACACGAAGTCTTATTACCAATTAATCATAAAAATTACAATTCCCGAGAAAAGAAGAATAGCCAAGTTATGAAAAAAAGAGAAAATTTGCATCTAAATACCTACAAAGGAGATGTAAACATTCTAAGGCCACCGCGCCTCCTACCGGCAACACAAAAGCAAGCGCGCGCGCACGCACGCACGTAACTACAACTTTGAATGTGATTGGCTTATTGAACTGTTCGATAACAAACTGTCCAATAAAAAACTGTCCGATAACAACTTGGCAAGTTAATTAGTGGAAAACAGGAGTTTTTTAAACCAATCACAATCGAGGAAACTGTCATTTTTATGATTAGCGCGGAAATTATCTGTTCGAAGAGATCCTTCAAAAGTTTTTCGCAACAAGCGAGATCTTTTGAAAACTGGGCAATATCACTCGGATATTCCTCAGGGACATATTCAATCATGTGATGCGTTTAAATCAATCGCGCGGGGGCGAAAATATTTGATGGATTATAAAGTACCATTCCAAGCTTGTTATTGACTGACCTTCTTAAAGTTCTTGTAAACAGAGTTGGCAATTGGGCTCTCAGGAGTAATTCTCCCAGTTAACATCTGGGACATGATGTTTCCCAGGGTTACCATTCCTATAACAAGCCTCATAAAAAAGGAAAATAAATACAAAAATATGGGTTGTTGACCAAGTGTTGGATCGGCATGTTTGGATATAGGCCAAGGTCTTGCGTGTTAATGGACCTCGACTGAACCAGGTGTATCCAGCCGTCTTGACCGAACATTAAATGGTTTATTATATGGCACACAGAACAGCATCTTCTAACGGAAACAGCGGGTAATAGATAGCGCTATCTTGCCGGCTCCGGTAGCCAATCACATTTTAGGATTTGGCTCACTTCAAGTGCTATGTGTTTCACTTGCCCGCCGACGCGCCCAAATGCTTCTTTTAAAACTAATAACTTCTTTCTCTTTTCTTGTAACATGAGATAACATTCAGAGACAATTTCTCTTACAGCTTTGTAACAGATTCACCCTGCTGCAGAATATGACTGCACCCAACAAGAGGAAAGTTCAGATTCACTCTTTTTGGAAAACAACTGAAGCCTGGTGTAATTGGAGAAACGCTGACAACTCCCAGTTAACTTAATTTGGACTTACAGAGATTGCATTGGCATATTATTTACCTGGGGGACTCCCTGTAAAAATAACGGTGGGGTGGGAAGGTCCTACTCATTAGTAAGAATTGTCAGCGTCAGTTATTTTTGCCCTTTTTTAGAATTGATACCTACAATAGAAATGAAAGCGAATTAGCCACACCCACTAAACGAGATTCAGGTACCTTTTCATTGCCCTTTAGGGGTTGTTTTTTTTTAATCCGTCGGGAGCCCCGGGATTTCCTCCTTACCGCCTGCGTAGGAGATTTTAGACAAGTCTAAAGACTCACCCTGCTTCATTGACCACTGGAAGCTGATCAAAACCTTCCCTGCAAAGGAAAGCAAGACAAAGGTTTCGCTTTTACTTAACTCTCGAAATGACTTCCTTACATATAGTATCAGTTGGAAAAAGAGAAAATCATCATTTTTACAATGTAAAAATCAACCTTGCAAATCTGTACAGTTTGACTGTGTAACAACTGCACCATAAGTTTACTGATCAAACCACAGAGATTAATTCATATCACATCTGATATTTTCCTCGTGACAATATAAGAGTTGATTTACAACGAGTTGCAGCACTGCTCACACTCAATTCATACAGCAAATATTCAGAGATGAAAAGTATAGAAAAAGTATTGTCTGTATATCTTCCCATGATGTTCTCGAAAATTTCGGGAAAATTCAGGGGAAAATTAAACGACCTTGAGAAACTCTTCTATAAGCTATAATTTGGAATCTTCGGAAAATTGCGAAAAACGTTTTTCTAGGTATGTTTAAAATAAGGCATTTTAATAGTGGCCAATACTCTTTCAGAACATATCCATGCTGAAAAGTCAAATTAAAATTGAAAAAAACATTTACTCATGTATTAGCGGAGCTCCTGTTGACCGAAACTGTGCGAGCGGAGCCCCATACCTTAGAAAATTTGGTAACACATCCATCTGAAAAATGTTGGTTGTCACGTGACTGTCCGTACGCCAATACCTTGAAAACTAAGAGAGTGGCACCATTACCATAGCTACATCTTTTATTTTGGGCATCCACGCTATTGTTAATTGACAGCTGTCACAACAAGCTATCCGCGGTCTTAGGTTTAGAGCACATCGAGGTTGCGTGTTTTTGTGCAGTTGACTGCTGACCAGTTACTGGTTTTCCGATTGGATCGCGGGCTCAAGTCAGGTTATTTCTCAGGGGGAGAAGGAGGGAGTACTCGCAAAGGCAAAATTTTGGCGCAAATTAACCCCTGGCCCATTGTTGACTTTTCTTCTGACATTCTCTGCACAATCGTCTCTTGGAGAGTCCCTGATATATTGCGCGCGTAATTTCTACAATTTCACAATTAATCATTCTTTGAGTTTCTGATCCAAGAAAAAATAATTCTCTTTTTCCTTTATGGTTAGTTATTGCAATCAGGAGCTCCGCTTTTAGGCTTGGCTAAATCTATTTATTACTTTCTATATTTACAGAGATAAGGTTTATGTGGGGAAGATTAAAATCAAACCTGTCCATGATGTCAATCGACTGTTGGCACGTGACGGATGGCAACACAGTCAGAGGGGTTGGTAGGTTCAGAGAAGAGACCTTCTTTGTCCACCACCTAAACACAATACAGAATTAAACTATTTTCCAAGGTTATCCAATTTTAAAAGACAAGTTCTTCTTCAGGCCTTCAGGCCTGAGGTAACAGTTTTGGCTCCACACTCATCCAAGGGTTCTAACATTCAAACAGTGGAATGGATTACCACTAAAAATTTGTGATGAACTAGTAATTTAATTACGATTTTAACCAAACGTAAGTGCTGGGCATCTGTGCAGGGTAGTTAACTTCAATATGTTCTTTAATGGAAAAACATAACAATTGTCAGGGCAAGCCGCATCCAAAGACAGCCAATTTGAGCAATGCCTAGCTCAAAGTCAGCTAAAACACTGAATGAGAGTTGGCCAAATTATTTTTCCAACCATGTTCAGGGCTGCCAAACTTTCATTAAAACAATCATGCGAATTTAACCAAGAATGCCAGAGGGTAGGTGGAAAATGCAGGTTGCTTATTGCTAGGTGCAGTGACAAGGAGTTATTAGGGAAGAAAAATGCAAGCAATGAGAGGTAATCAAGGCAACCTCACCAGTGGGCCGACCCTGAGCACCTGCCAACAGTTATCTAACACAGTAGAGATAACATATGATGTGAGGGCACAGGGTGGAAAGAATGTGGAGATGGAGACAGGATATGGAAACCTAGGAGTTAGGGGGCAGAAACCCAGGAGGGGGACTCCGTATAAAAAGGACAGGGGTGCTCATCGGAAATTTTGAAAGGAACCTCTAAGAGGTACCAAGATCCTGTTTGGTAGGTGTGGCTTGATATGTTTTCACCCCTAAGAGGTAACAATTCTAAACAACAAATTATCTCCTGTCATATTTTTTTCGGCTCAATATCCTAAAAGGTACCGCAAAGCTCCCACTGTGGACCTTTTGAGGTTGAACACCCTAAGAGGTGCCGCTCTAACCCCTAAAAGGTATGACAAGCACTCCCGTCCTTTTTATACGAGACTCCCCCCCCCCTGGGAGGGGGGGCAGAAAGTCTATGGCTATGTGGGTGATACCTGAACTGGGAGAAATAGGGAAAACAGGTTTTGCGACAGTGTGCAATATTTTGCTATGGAATCAGCACTAAGATGTGGGAGCTACTTTAGAATGGGAGGAAGGGGCGTAAAGCAGAAGTAAAATCTGTGTGGAGAGGAAAGTTCAGACCCTTCTGTCTCCCCCAAAATAAATAATTAAATAAATAAATAAATAAATAACTCAAATATAGAATGGTAAAAGGTAAAAAAACCCCTCAGTTTCAGTTGTAAAAGAAAAGCAATCATAGATTGAATTTGTTCCCAAAGGCCTCAATGTCTGCATATAAGTAGCACTCAATGGCAGCAACTTTTACTATGGTCACTAGCCTCCTGCTATGGTTAGGTCTAAAAACCCATTTCACATATCTGCAGTGGTATGAAGTTTATGTGATGTCCACATTACAGTACTAACTAACTGCATACCAAAATTTGTTGTGGTCATCATTTCTTTCTTTCTCAAGGAAACCGTTAGCTTCCATCCAGTCATCACTCAAGAATTTGGTCCTGCAAATATCATGAATCAGTAATACTTATTAACTACACATAACATTTCTGGACTAATACGGTAGTTTTCTACCACTGATCAACATCAGTAATGGTTGAAAACTGAACAAAACATTTCTTCATTACTTACATGTAGTTCCGAACCGAGTCTGGGAGAAGGACAATACACCTCTGTCCCTCGCCCAGCTTCTGTGCTGCCTGCACTGCGGCTGCCATTGCACTTCCACTGGAACCTCCTGGATAAAAAAACAATACAACACAATTAATTTGTCAGATTCTATCAAATATTGATTTTCCCAACATCACTCATCACCTTCCACACTTCAAATTCACCTTCCACACTCTTTCCATCAGTATTGCACAGAAGGAGCTAAAAATTCTATGGATTGCACAGTTCCAGCAAATAACCATGTCCCTTCCCCCTTTGAGGGTCATTAGAAATTCTGAGGGGGTGAGGGTGAAACTGAAGCTGAACTGGAAATTCCAGAGGAATGGGGGTTCAAATAAAAAATTCTTCCATGGTGGGTAAATGGTTATTTTCTTGAACACATATTATGTTACTTAGTTCAAAAAAACACTTTAAAAGGTTTAAGTCAACCCCTTAGTACATAGCATGGTGCAATCCCTATGCAAAGTTGCGGCAAAATGCAAACGCTGACATAACAAAGATTTATCCACCCCCAAAAGCTTAAACCAAACTGCAACTTGGGTATAATATATACCGACCATATGTTAAATACCCAAGCTCTCAGAACAGACAAGTACATGTAGTTCAGCTCAGGTTATGGCTGGTTTAACTGAACTTAATGAATGGGTTAAAACAGGGCTAAAAATATGTCTAGTACTGCTTAGTGGCCAGTTAGGCCAGTTTCTCTGAATGTTTTATGACCCAGGACAAATGTGGCCCTCAATTTTCTCTAGTCTAAATTATGAGAAAAAAACTACCTTTTATCTAGACAAACAACCCAAAGTTGTTTTTGAAGTGATAGCACCTGTGACTTTGAAAATGGACAGTGAGGGCTCAGGTTGATTCTGGAGTCACATAGCAACAGTAAAATCAGAACAGGTATGTATTCTTGGTAAACAATTATTACATCTGCTCGAATGTTTCCACTTCAGAAATCAGAGAATTCACCAAAGTTAATGAAATCAAAGTTGAGGAAAACAAAAAATTACTCCTGCATGACCAGTATAATTTTCAACTTCATACAATCATGTACTTTGTTATATGGAAACTCTTTAACCAAAGTCACCCATTGGGAAACTTATAATGGTCCATTTCAACATGACACACTAGGTGACAAGGTGCTTGCCAAGTTTTGGTCCTGTAAAAAAGCTGTTCAATGCATTTCTTTTACAAAAATTGTATCTCAGATCTTTAATATCTAGGCAAGTGCAGTGTACAAGCAAAGCAGTGAACCAGTAAGGTTACTCTTGTTAGCTACAATCCTAGATGTGCCAAGCACATGTGCTAATGTCATACTGTTACTGCAGACTCTCCATGAAATAATCCACTTGTTAAGATTTGCAGGTAAGGGATAGCCTACTGATCAGAGCATGAAAGGCACCCAATACATAACATCTGCTTAATGCCAATTATCAGCAAACATACCACACAACAGTCCTTCCTCCTTTATAAGTCGTCTTGAAAAAGTGAAAGCTTCCTTGTCTCCAACTTTGTACCACTGGTCAACAACAGCACGGTCCAACACAGTTGGAACAAAATCATACCCAATACCCTCAACCTAAAAGTAAAAGTCACTACTACATAAAATGAAGCTTACAGTTACACGTAGGTTGAGAAAATTTGAATATCAGTTTGTGAAAACTCTTGATAGCTCACATTAAGACAACCTATTTAGTGAAAGGTTTATTAAATGCAAACTTTCATGTTCCAATGCCACAAAAAGTTGATAACCTTGTAAAAAAATTAAGTGCTCATTAACCCATTGACTCTAGCTGTGCTGCCTATAACTGACCATGATGAGCATTGGACTTTGTTCCATTTCTGATAAGTTTTGCAACAGGAAAAGATCTTTCCAATGATATCCAGACCAGAGTGATGGGGTTTATTGAGCTTTAAACACAAACAGAAATGATGACAAATTTGAATGCAAAACTTGAGGGAGGGGGAGAGGGATGGGGAAATTTCCCTCAACTACAACTGGCTACTCCTTGGTCTTGATGATGCTTTTTTGGGAATTCTTCAACTGAAAGTAAGCCCATGCAGTAGCAGACCAACAACTGCAGCAAAAAAAAACATGCAAAGGAGTAAAACAAAAACCGCAAAAATAATAAAACTACTTTCTGGCATGTTTAATGGTTTTTGTGTTCAAAGAATAAATATTGATGATTTAAATCATCTTGTGTTTTACAATGAAAATCAAGATAGGTACAATTGCAACTTACGTGATATATTGGGTTGTCACAGTCATTCAGTTCCTTTGGTTCAGCCAAGATTGATCCATGTGGGTCAACACCTATAATCTAAGAGCAGGATTAATTATAAATCAAGTAATCTGGGTACATTAATCAAATGCTGGTGACAAACAAATTATTAGGAATAAATTGTGAAGTGGATTAACCCTTTAACCCCTTGATTACCTATATGACGTACTCAGTAGGTTATGATTTTAAGAGATTTAGTCAAACTCCCAGCACACTGCAAACAACTTTAATTGGCACCTGAGATTCATAGGGTTTTCTTTTGAGAGACTGCTGATTTCCCATTGCTGTGACGTCATATGGATATCAAATTATGTCACCTCAGTGAAATAATTAACCACATTGAGGAGACACTTATTACCTTTCAGAAAAATCTTTGTGTAAATGATGTATATAGTTTATTAGTGAAAAAGCTTATGGCATTTGAAGTTTTTACTAGACACCCATTTTCAGTGAAAATAGGATGGCACAGTGTACACAAATGGTCTGGCACTCAAGGGGTTAATATGACAATTATTGTTGGGCCAAACACGGTATAGATTAAAGAATCATGATGTGGTTGTATTAACAGGTTGGCCTCCTCAACCCAGCCTCATTCCCAGGGTCTCTGTTCTTCCCAGTCCCCTAGGGGGACTCCCCTACAATAACTATTTAACAAATAGATTCCATGTTGCCATGCGTCTGTTCAGTAATAGATCACAGATGAC